ATTGTTCCGTCAAACGATGGAATTTTTAACGTAGGTTTCCGTTTGAAAATCAAAAGCGGGTAGTCGTTTCGCCCACTAAAAATACAAGTATAACAAAAAAAAAAAAACAGTACTTAATTCAACATTTAAGAACTGCTTATTTCAATAAAAGTTAACACTTTCCCGGGATAACGAGTGCCGTACGTTAACGTTGATCACGCGGTAGGTAGGTACAGTAGACGGCTATTCGTATATTATTCAAAACCGATGGTAAATTCGGCTCACGATTATTCATTAATTGGCTCACCTAAATATCAAATCAAAATAAGAATTTTATTAAAAAATTAACATTCGCGTTACAAAAAAAGATATGTTAGACTTTAAATTTTGTTCTCGTTTATAAAAATCGATGCATAGTAATTAATTAAATACATCGCACTGAATCACTATTAAAATATGCCTACAATTAAAATAGATAATATTCTGCCACCCAAAACGTAATAGTTTGGACTCTTGGCCCGCTAAGAACTATTATCATTATTTTTTTTACCGGCCTTGTAAAAAAAAAAAAAAAGAGCTGATACTGATGATGGGAGTGGCCACTATTGTTGGTGAGAAGTTGGGACGGTAAGATATATAAGGTTATTTCATTTATATCTGTAAGCAACGATAAACCATTGCATGGCAAAAGACGATTTCCTGGAGTTTTCCCAGCAAACTTGAAAAACGTACGAAAAATGTATGAAAAACGAGAAAATCGGTACATCAGACAAACATTATAAATGAAAATAAATAAATGCCTATTAGATTGTTTCACCATAATCGGACATATTGTTGTTTAACTTAACTCTGTTCAGAATCGTTTTTTCGTTATCAACGGTTAATCGTTGGTTTACGGGCGAGCATCAAATTCCGTATACCGGCGGCTGCATCCGTCCCCGTCGTCCAATAGGACGTTTCGATACCTTCTAGTCCATTAAAATCGAGTGTGTCGTCCAGTCGTCCGGCCCCCAGACCGTAAAGACAAATGATATAAATTTTCGATTTTGAAATCGCATTGATCCCGGAGGGAAACGCATGGGCCCGGGAGTGCCAGCGGCCCGTCCGCCGGCCGCGCCGCCGCCGAAACCCCGACTTATTGTCGTCTAAAATCCCGGATGCCGATTTATTCGCGCTTTCGGCTTATCCGGGATTTACGTCGCGGTCGCCGTCGCCAATCGCGTCGTACTGCTATACACGTCACGGTAGTAATTAATCCCCGGCCGGTCGTACGCGGTACGGGTTTTGCGGTTAATAAACGTTGACGTTTACGCATCGCGGTTATGTCGCGAAACGCAATTTTATAATGTAATATTAACATTTTATACTCGCGCGCTACGTGCGTGCGTGAGTGTGTGCGTGCGTGCGTGTGTGTGTGTGTGTGCGCGTGTGTTTGTGCGTGCGTGCGCGCGTGTGTGTGCGTGTGTTTGTGCGTGTGTTTGTGCGTGTGTTTGTGCGCACGTGCGTACGTGTGTGCGTGCGTGCGTGCGTGTGTGTGTGTGTGTGTTAAAACGCGTCAACGGTTTAACGGGCCCGCGGTTCTAAATGATATAATAATACGATAGTGGGTACAGAGTGTATTATTATTGTTCATTAACATGCAAATCGCTGTCGTCGTTAATAAAATCCGCGTCTGAAACACAAACGACCGATAATAATCGCGCCGGATACGCCGCGGCAAGACCGCCGGAGAAAACGCGATATTACGACGAACAATACTATAATCATAATAGTATTATAAATATAATTGAACGAAAATACCGCGCAAAATCGTAAAAACTTTTAACGCCCGCCGAACGCGTCTTATCGTGTATAATTATAAGGAGACGGGTACCTACCTGCGGCCGTCGAGACGGTCCGATCGACGGCGAGCGTTATAAAGGCCTAAATAGTATTGTTACTATTTGTCGGCCGTATCCGCGTATTATATACGAGACCGTGAATTCGCGCGTATTGTCATTAATATTGTAATCCCGTCACAAAGGTGCGCGGTAAAGGGCGGCGGAGGTGTTTAACCCGCCCGCAACCCTCCCCCCCCTCCTAAATTTCATGAAAACTATGACGAAAGTAGATTTTTAACAGAATCTCAAAATTGGTTTCTATCAACGAGGAAGTTATTTACAATTTTTGTTTGGATTTTTATTTTGTTACTTGCCAGTTTGTAATGTATTGTTATCATCGCAGTCATTCAACCGTATGAATCACCTGGTCATTTAGGATTATCAAAAAACATCATTGAATGTAAAATTTAGGTGTAGGTACTTGAAAACCTAAAAGGCTAAGAATCTGTGCTAGGATTATGAGCACGAGTGTAGCCACGGTTATAGGTAATTACTAATGTATATCTGTAAGCAACGATTAACCATTGCTAACGAAAAAAACGTTTCTGAAAGGAGATGATAGTATTGATTTGTAAATAATACACAATATTTCGTGTTAGGATAAAATGATTACAAAAGCATTACACATTTTCTTTAATAATATTTGATTAATAAATTGAACCTATTTTCTCGTTTTTCCTACATTTTTTCCTGGGTTTTCCCGTGTATTGCGAAAATTCTTGGCAAAATCAGAATACTTCCCTAAAGTACAACCCCAGTCAGATTTCCTTTCAAAACAATAATTTTTAAATCGTAGCGAAATTGCTGGTAAAAAAGTCGTCTACAGGAAAAAAGAAAGTCGTAATATTTTTAGTTAATACCTTCATTTCTCACATTTTCCCGCTTTCCCTACGTTTTTCTTTTCGGTTTATTCCATTTTAATGTTAAACAACATTGTAAAACCGATAAATTCCTCGCTCCACTCGGAATATTAAATGAATTTTATTAAATATTGACATTTTTCATGTAAAATAAATAATCATACGATTGAAAGTATGGAAAGAATATTGTTATAACAGCATGAATGTGTACAACCTCAAATCCCCCTGAAATATTTTTTGTTAAACGCACCTGTCGTCGCGATTCGAATGCGAAGATAAAACTGTGTAGGGGATGAAAACTGTACGATAATCGTTATTATGCAGTCACTCGGTGGTGTATTGAGTGAGCCTCGGAGACTATGCAGGATCGGACTGGCCCTGCAACGTGTCGCTGTCTCCTCGGTGCGGCCACTGCTGAAGGCCCGTAAATGAAATAAGTATAGGATAACTACATAAACAACTGTACATAAACGGTTAAACCATTGCCAACGGAGCTGAGTTCGGTTACACGATGTTTTTAAAGGGCTTAATATTTGCGATTTTTATCAAAATTCGATATTATAATTTATTCCGATAAAATAAAAAATATCACAGTACTCGTTTTTTTTTTTACCACAAAAGTACGTATCATCATCGATACAAAGAATATAATAAGTAATGGCATTTATTTTGGTGGCTTCAAATAATACGTAACCTTTCGTGTGTACTCTAATTTATTTCTAGATGAGGGACATGTTCATCTCTTCCCCCCCCCAAATGGACACCCGTGTATTCTACCTTCCTGAATTCTTGCCCGTTTGTATATTCTATGGTGTGTATCGGGGTTTCAATCCAATCTATACTGTTTCGCTATGTTTACTTTTTTTTTTTTTTCGTCGCTTCTGAAAAAAATAATAAAAATAAATTGCTTGTTTAGTGGTCACTAGAAATGTACAAAGTGGAATAAATATATATTATGAATCTGCTTGCTTTATCCGCGGCGCCAACGCTCATTTCGTTTGGTAGGGCAAACTGTAAAAAATCGGTTGTCGCTACTGTCCACTGAGTTGGAGCGGAATGACGGCCGGCCGCGTGTATATATTTTTAACATTTAACCATCACAAAGCCGCGCCTTCCACTCGCGAACTGGAGTGTCAATTCGTACGCTCGACCACTCGAGGCACCCGGCACTCGCCCGATCACCCGGCATCCGCCCAACCGGCGGCCGACACTCTCCGCCGCGGTCAAACGCAGGGGCGAACCGCACCGTCAACGTGCGCACTCGGCGCTACTGAACTTCACTCTACGTTCGGGTAAACTGACTTTTATCGCAGCGCAACGATACCAATCGTATAGTGTAATTTAATACGACAACGCGTGTTGTAATGATTTAATGAAAAACGTTAGAAAAAAAAACAAACGCCGATCTGAAGTATAGTACGAATACAACGAAAAAAAAAAACAAAAATTAACAGACCTAGCGCGTGATATCGATTGTTATGAACGTATTTAATAACGCGCATATTTAGCGATAATAATTTTAATGTCAATATACCGTGATGACACGTGATACCCCGCCGTTGTAAACATCGGTTTTTCAATTGCGACGTGTCGAATTTCGTTCGCGGATTATCGTAGAACCGATTTTGTGTCCGAAACGCGAACGGTGCGAACGTTTTCTCATTTGGCGTATCGCTCGACCACCGTGGGACGCCGCGACACCGCGGTCGCGCGGCGGGGAATTTCCGCGAAATAATAACCGTATATTACGTACCCCGCCCGTCTGTCGTTCGGATTGGTTTCGCGCGCGATATTATTACCGCTATCGTTTTCGTCGGGAAATCCCGCGTTGAAATCGGCGCCGTAAAACCGAACACGATCTTCGCGGCGCAATCGAAAAACGCGGCGCGCGGCCGGCCGTCCGCTCGCGTCGCCCGGAAATATTTATCGGATTGTCGTTGCTCTTGCCCGAGATAAATCGATACCCGCGAACAGCCGATTGCCAATCGCGAACTCCGCTTTTGCCGCCGCCGAAACGAACGCGCGATTACGAAAGAGAAAAAAAAAATAAAAAAACCGTTTAAAAACTATATAATCGCCGGAATCATAACTTTAACGGCGTGCCCGTCATTTCGGTTTTCTCGGTTTTTCGAGAGCGTGCACTACGGTGTTGTATCGCTATTTTGCCGCACCGTCCCGCGGGTTACACGCAGTGGACGGCGTAGCTATCGCAGGACGCTGCGGCCCCGGGGCCCCGGAGCTCGGGGGGGGGGGGGCCTCGGACAATACGGAAATCACTCCCTGGAAATAATCGCAAACGCCGATGTTCTCAATATGGAATGTTTTAAATCTTACGTGCTATTTCTGTTTAAATAGAACCATAATACACACGATTATATGCGATGAACGGTGCTCGCCATATACTGATCGTTACGGTTTGTACGGTATACTATACAATTATAGACCTCCCTAAAGTACCTACCTAGTGAGATTCTCTATCAGAAACAAGTGCTATCGTTATAAATCGGAGCGAAATTGTTGGAAGAAAAATTGTTCACGGGAAAAAAGAACGCCGTAATATGTTTTAAACAATACCTACATTTCGTAAATTTTCCCATTTTTCCACGGTGTTTCACATTTTTTTGAAAAAACTCCTAGGAAAATCGAAAAATGACCTCTTTAAAGTATCCTCCCAATCAGATCTCCTTTTGTAAAAAAGTGATTTTGTAAATCGGATAAATATTACTGGTAAAAAGGTTGTAAACAGAGAAAAAAATAATAAACATCTCTTTATAACCATAAGCTTCTTCGTTCCACTCGGAATCTAAAGCAACTTTATGTGTAGGTATGTTTTGAATTTTCATTATAATCATATTAGTTAGAGGGCCTAGTTTTTTAATTTCCCTGGGGCCCTTTCCCTTCTAGCTACGCCACTGTTACATGCGGTGTTGTTCGTATCTTCCTTGCGGTACGTCACTTTCTCTGTGAATAGTGCGGGTCGTCAACAGTTGTCCGAAAACGATAAGGTTCTGTGGAATGATAACAATCCGAAAACGAAAATGTACCAACGAAATTACCTACAATATCACAATGTGGATGTTAAAATCATTTATATTTTATAAGATACCAACAACAACACTACCACTTAAATATTAGTTATTAATATTACTTTGAATTACAAGAACCCGTTGGCTTTTGATGGAAACAAATGACATAATTATAACGGAGTTCAAAAGAAAGGTGTAATGAAAAATAATGTGACTAAAAGAAATTAATTTACATTTGTTTAAAATTAAGTTGTAAATTTTAACGATAACTTTCAAATTTCCGAAAAAAAAAAATCGTTAGTTCAGAATCGAAAATATCCATTAAAATATTAAAATCGTTGTCAATATCATAATATAAATGTATAATAATGTAATCAAGAAGCACAGATCAGAACTGAATGAACATAACACGTACAAAATATAACTAAACAGTGTGTACCCGTACATAAATAAAAAACTAGTTTCATAAATATACGTTGTGCAACATGTTTTATGCTACTTTTGTTTTTGTGTTCGGCTCTTATCATTTATCGGACAACTGCCCCCGACCCAAATATAGCCCCGAAACAAAGTCAGTATCGTCGAGTATGTCTGCTAACGCAGTTTTCACTGTCGCTTCGAAAATGCCATCCGGAAGGTATATTATAATATACGAAGTACGTGTATATTATACCAGTTACAGAACATTGAGCGAAGTCGATATTTTGTAAATCGAGAAGTAAAAAAGTAATATTTTCGGCGGCTTACATTGCTAAGGCTAAACTGTATCGGAACCTACGTCACAATAATACAATACGAAATTTTGTGTTAAAGACCTAAATCCTAATTATATATTAATTATATTTATATTAAATACTAATTCAACCCACGAAAACCCGTTTAAATAAAACCGTCTAGAATCCTGCTTTCCCTTTGAAAAAAAAAAAAAAAAAACAATCTGTGCGAAATTCTATTTTGTTTCACTTATTTTCGAACTCGATCGATTGAAATAATTTATTAGGTAAAAAACTTTCATCGGTAATTTGTTTTTGGACCTTTAATACAATTACAACTAAAAACAACCATTATTTATAATCCAAAACTAACGATTTACAACAAATAAGCACTTAAAATTCCCATAATGCACTTAAAGTTCACGTGGACTTTAAAATTAAAAGTTGTATTTGTATGAGTATGTTTTAATATGATAAAAGTTATACTCCAATGTAGCGAAAAGTGTACATAATATAAGTCGAAAATTGTAGACTTATTAGTTTTCAACAAATAAATACCACGTCCTAGGACCTAGTCAATTTTTCTGGTTTCAATTTAATTCGTAGTATTTTATTTTAGCACCGGGTATTTTCAATAACATTTTTCATGAAAATGTATAAATTACAATTATCGTAGGGTCTACCAAGCTCTAGACTCGTCTAAATTATTCAGTGGTGAGGGGGGTCTTTTTATTTTATAACATAAAGTGCAAGACTGCTCGCCAAAAATAATACACTTTAATAAGTGTATTATTGGGGAATTAAGGTACATATGATTAATTTTTTTTTTTTTTTTTACGATCTACATATACTTATATGTATTTCATAATACGATCGCTAAGCTTATGATTGTTCGGATTTTTAATTCCATACATTTATGGAAACTATTTTCAATCTCCCCTCTCCGTTTTAATTTTCCCCACTTCTCCGGCGATACGGGTTTAAATTGTGCCAAGTCTATAAACTGAAATCAATACAATTCTAGTATGCATGTCATTATTTTATTTCAATAGTATTCCACTGTACAACGAACGTACCTAACTCGATTGCTGCTGTTATTACCGTTATAATAGGCCGCGGACAATGTAATATTACTATTATTATTATTATTAATTCCGTATTAAACAATATCAATTATAATAAATTGCTTCGACGATTGCACCGTGCGTCGAAACAGCCGTGATGATGCGTCGGCATGCATTTTTAAAACGAAATTCGATTCCGGGAATGATGTAACGATTGTATAGTAGGTAGTAAGCCGATTTGATTTTTTCCGGTATCTTAATATTTAAATCCTCTTTTTCCTCTTTCGTGGTTTGTGCTTTAAGACAATATCGTCCAAACGATTTGCTTCCGGTTTTTTCTATCTAAAAACACTACTTCTAATCCATTCCGGCCTATTGGCTTTACTTGTCTTACATCTCCCTTAACCGTAATATCTTACCCGTCTTAGCGTATAGCACTTCCGAGCGGTATTTTCCCTTATGGTGCATTCGCTTGTGCCGTTCTCAGAAATGACCCTTCATTACGCCACACACGTCTTGCTCTAGGATTGATCTTACCGAAAAATTAAAAACGTGAAAAATTTCCAACAGAAAAAGAGATATAAAGTATTATTAGATGCGAACAAAATGTGGACCCAGTCTATCTCTCGAAATCTTTTTTGAGTAATGTTTTCGATCGTGAGATATTCTCACTCTCCTAATTATCATTCTAGCACCGAGTATACGATATGTCGATGTACCCCTAAATAATATTATTTTTTACATTTTTTTTTTATTCTTTTAGTAAATACTAGATAATATAGATAAGGCGGGCTAATAATAGGTATTGGGTACACTCAGTTTGTACACAACACGTATTACTTTTTATACAGTACCCATTGTCAGACTTGAGTTCCCGAATTAGTAAGCGTATACTTATTAACAAGCACAAATGTATGGTTGCGAATTCTTTTTGATAAATTCAGCAAAAGTACCCATATTTTAATTTTTTAATTTTTGGGAAAACGTCTGTTTTGTATATCGGCTACAACCACTAAACCTCAAACCTATCTGAATAGATCCTAAAAACATCCGATTGTTGTGAACGCGAGTTAGTAATAAACGAACGGGTTTCGTGTAAATAGGGCGTGGCTCGACGGTAAATCCCGCGAAGTCGTGCGTTATTTTTCACGGAAAATAATTATTTATCGCATTGCAATATAATATTGCAAAACAACAAATAAAAGTTAAAACTAGAAAGGTATGAATAAAATTAAAAAAAAAAAAAAAAATGTCTGTTCGACGCAAAAGATTCATATGAACTGAAAATACAGAGAAAAAATGTGATATTGTTGAAGACGAGCATTTTTTTTTTTTTGTGTACGTGCAATCTGACTATTGCATCGGTTCAGTTTAGATGATAATACATTTTAGAAAAAAACATAAATCCGCTTTAATAATATGACGCAATCAGAATTATCGTAAAAGTAAATAACAATAAATAAACGGGTCTCGTGGAAATTAAGCGTGACTAGCCGGAAACAACCCAGGAGTAAAATCGATGACGTCATGCATTATTAGTCACCAAAATTAATTATTTGTTTTACTGTAATATAATATTTTCGAACAATTGGTGCCAACCGTAATAAATATACAGAAGAAAAATCATCCCTGTGGGAACTGATCAGAATACTCTTACGGTACATCCGTTGTAAGCCATTTTTGACAGCCAGTGTATGCAAGGTAGGAGATGGGGTCAAGCGGGAGGGCTGGCAAGGGGGGCTGACCTTCAAATAGTTGAGATAAAGGTGAAGTAAAAGAAGAAGACTGAGAAAAAATGTGTTACTATGAGAACGAGAATTTGTTTCAGTATACGCAATTTATTTATTACTTACATTCATCCGATCATACCATTAGATTAATACCATGACACGTACTTGTTATAAGTTCATAAAATTTTTCGATATCGTTTTCGTGAATATTTCAACTTCCTTCCGTGTTCTTTCACGTGGATAATATTTGTATGACATGTTTTGTTCTTGTAAATTTATGTTTCACGTATTAACGTAAATAGTTATATTATACATAGTTCTTTATCAAAGTTTAAAACGCAATCGAAATTGTTGCCTTTATTATAATATAATTCTTACAGCGATTTTCAATATCGGCTAATAATATTGGATATCGATTTACCGTCATATTAATTATAATTGGACATTAAAACTTACAGATATTGTAATGTATTTACTTCCCGGTATTTGCGATAAACGCACGTAACAAACGGTATACAATTCTGTTTTCTACTTCTCACACACCCTGTATACTGGGCACGTCCATAAGGGCGTATTTTCGAATACGTCGAAAGGTTTTCTATAAAACATACTATTGCATACGGTGTATGCAATATAACCGAATATTTATCAAACACGGTGTAGGTAAGGACTTTAATACACACCCAAAAATAAAAATATAATACCTTCGATTTATCTACCCGATACGTGTGTACAAGTTTTGTTTATATTTTATTTTTTTATTCTCTTAACGAATAATGTTTTGAAATGTTAAAGGTTTTATAAGATATTCAGTATAGGGTTTTACGTACTTATGCACATTAAACTTAAATATTAAAAAAAAAATTAATTAATTTAAAAAAACGTGATAACCGTACGTGCTGTTTTCGTCTTACAAACGACAAAGTAAAATGTACGGTCCTACATAGGAAAATTTGTACTTAATTTAATTTGAATATAAGAACATTGTTGTAGGTTTTTTTCAAATATTTTAATTATTAACCGAGATATTAAGACCATATTTGTATGAGCAACCTCTAATATTTGGAATGAAGTAGAAGATAAAGTGTATAATGTGTAATTGAAATGTCACAGGATTTTAATATTTCACCTAAAAATGAAAATATCGCAAAAACCTCTAGTCGCACAGACATTGTTCTTATACATTAAATTTTAATAATAGGTTATAAGCAAAACCAATATTTGAAAGATGTGAAAGGTAAAATGGTCGCACTACGTTTGTAAGCCGGAGAGAACACGAATGGATATCACGTCTTCCTAAAGATAAAAATTAAATACAGTTCAAAAAAAGCAATTATTAAAAAAAAAAAAACGCACACAATGAACCTACGGCTAAACAAACAACGTTTATACCATAAGCTCGGGTAAACACTAAACATATACAGGTATTATAAAAATAACCGAACATTTTTATCCGCAAGGGAACGTCCAGACGGTCTATTTTTAGCGGGATAAACGCTCGCCCGAAATGCAGTATTAAAATTTATAACAATAGTATTATTTCCTCCGGAAAAAACTTATTCCGGATTCATTCGCCCCAGACCGCCTTGGCCGTGTACACCTGCCTAGTGGCACGTTTCCTACTACGATCTGCGTCTCACGTTTTACGCCTTTACACCCGGTGAAAACTGCGTTCAAATATAATACAATATAGCATTATTTTGTAATATATTATTATTATTATCATACATTTTGAAATCGTGTCTTTATTTTATCTAAACAACAAGCAACGGCTATCCGAGAACCGGGAATACGCGTGGACTGTCGATGGTTTCTTGCGTGACTCCGGGGAATGTTTCAGTGTCCCAACGGACACGCGATAAAATGTATTGGTCACCCGGTAGAATGGGATTTCGCTTACCGTGCGCCCACGAGAAAATAAATGATAAACAATTGAGCGAAACGATTTTGAATAAAACATATATAGTATACAGTATTATATGGGAATACTCTCACTTTTAAGAGGGAGGGTAACTGGCAAAGTCCAAATAGCAAACGGAATGTTTGATCAATCTGCCTTTTTTTTAATGCGACACGTAATGGATATTTACTAATTGATATTACACCGAAAATGCACAGACATCTTATACCTGTCGAGGAGATGGATATTTTTTTGTTCGCAATTTCTCCGACATGACGCGATGATTCGCTTAGAAATGTCCGGCCGACTATTCCCGTTTACAATGGGTACCGTCGTCGTTTCGTGATGGGTTTTTTTTTGGTTATCGAATAAAATAACAGCGTGTACGATAAGTGTACACCTCGTATACATTTCCGTTGGTTTGAATTTGTACGATGTGGGGTTATTGTGATCGAACGCATTTACAACTAAAACACTGGGTTATAATATTTAAAACCATACCGTGTTTTCTGATCCGAGCATTGCTATATAGTCTACAGTCTTCGATCCCCCGAGATACTTAAAATATATTATTTTTCGTCTCTCTTGTTGCAACTTAAGTATGTACTGCACGTTTTCGGTGAACATTATCGATATTGTAGTTCAAATTACAGTTTAGTAACGCATCATTTGCTTACCTATTTTCAAGACTCTATAATCAAAAATTATCGAACAAATGAGATTTTCATAGAGTACACATCTTCAATAGCTTATCATTAGAATTTTTTCAATTTTTTATCTTCTTTGAATACATCTATTTCCAATATATTTAATACGATTTCCATAAAAACGCTTAATCAAACACATTATGATGTTAAAAATTAAATTTAAAAATAATAATTTTAGTTATAATCTAAAAATGTATTTAAAGCTCAGATTTTAAGGAATAAAAATATTTATTTTTCTTTTCAAACTTTCTAAATGATCACTGCCTTTCGCATTTGGAGATTGAACGATAGCATTTCAGAATACCGCTAAAGAACTTTTTTACCCTTTATGTATGCTGTATAGGTATTTATTTGTATTATTACTCAACGGAATAAAACTGTTTTCGAACTCGGGGTGAACTTATGCCGAATTTATTTTGTCGTCTCCTTTTTTCGAAAAATAGTTTAATTTAATGTTATTTAGTAAATTCAATTCAAAATATAGAAAGTTGAAAGAACACATAGAGATATTTAATTAATATCTATTCGCAGCAATACTTAACACAAATTGAATTCGATATGCTAAATAAAAAAAAAAAAATACCGCCTACATTAAGTGAATTTTTTTGTTAACCACTAAGTGTAACTTATAATGAACCTGTTTACTTATTATTCTTTTCTAATTAAGCTTTTCTAAGAAAATCACAAAACTATGGCCAAACTATTTTTTCCGCATAAAACCTAATAAATCTAATACCGTTTTAAAAATATCAAATGCCTATAAATAGCTCGAAAATTAATGAAAATGCATAAATGTTTTGGACATTTTACCATGTCTAGAGAAGTCTAAATATAAATGTTTTATAAATATTTTATAATTTTTTCTAAGCCACTGCAATACAAAAACGAAATCGAAAATAATAAAACCGTTATTAATATAAACTATCAAAAAGTTATTAGAGGAATAACACAAAAAGGGCTTTTTTATGTTCAAACTAATAGTTGTAAACTACACAAAATCATCTCTCAGAAAACATGGTAATCTTGGAGTTTGAAACAAGGTTTTTGGTACAATAAGCAATATAATATGTATTGAAACTTTTAGTGTCGTAAATTTTTCCATTTTTTTTTTTTTTTATAAGTTTTTCCGGACTTTCCCAAATTATTACTAAAAATGTTTGAAAAATCAAAACACGATCTCCTAAATGTCAAATACATCAGCAGCAACCATATCAAATATTCAGTAAAAATGTTATGTTATCGTTGTCTGGTTGTAGAATGATTTTCGATAGACAAATTAAAATCGTACGCGGCCGTAGAAAACCAACACAATATTCAAAATATAAAAATTAACGTTCGTAAAACACATCAATAGGTTGTCGGTAGGCATTCCGATTTGTTTTTTATTTTTGGTCGCATCGTTAATATTGTACTGTAGTGGCCGACCGCGTGCAGGTATTACGTGAATTAATTATAATTATCGTGCAACGCGATTCTTATTAATAATATCAACGTTTGCGACAACGGTATAATTATTGTAGCGTACGTCCGCGTTGAGTTCACTCCGCGTCGCCGCCGCGAATTTCACGGTACTGCGGACGGTCGATTTATCGTTCCGAAAAAATCTGAACAAAGTTTGAACGAAAAAGTGGTAAATTGCGGAATACATTTAGATAATAATTTACTAATTACTTAATATCATTATTACGCGCACATATTATCACTATGCGCGCGCAACGAGTTTCCTGATAATTACATAAATCATAATTGTTACGAATTTCGTTTACGGAACGACAGTGAAATTGGAAAAGTTTTTAACGCATCCGTAAGCCCCGTAATATTGTGTGTATAAACTTTACCGGGTGATACAAATGCATATATGTAACGGCCCGGAGTCAAAGTTTCTAAATGGACGGACGATATATTATTATGTATGGAATAAGTTTATTCTTATTAGTCGCGCGTTTAGCGTGTGTCCCTTTATGGGTTTCGATACGTACTATTTGGTTATCGAAAACGATTCTGAATTTGAACAGCGCGGCTAATCGCCATCGCCATCGCGGCATTGACCGTGCGTGATCGTCTTTTTGACAAAGCGATCGAAGTTAATTACGAATGGGAAAAAATCGACACGTGCCAATGTTGCCCTTCTATCGAAACGAAACTCGCGTTGATTATTGTGAAATCGATTGAATAACATAAAAACCTGGAGGCCCGCTTGGAGAGCGCTGGGTATCTCTCGGGAACTTTACTTTTTCCCGTACCGTAACATTAGCCCAGATAAGTCAATGAATGGCCCGGAATAAATACATTGTAAGTTCCTAATGCAAATGAATAATTTATAACTGTAAATAGAGTCATATTTCGTATGGAAGACACGTAGGCGTAACATATTATTTCATAACTCGTATTACGAGTGCCCCTTTTAAATCTTATAATCATTGACGGAAAACTATGACGAGTGTGTATTGAATTTCGTTAAAATATCGTTTTAATTAAGCACATATTTTTGTTTGCCCACTGATATATCCCTGAAGCTGAAGTGACACGATGAAAAAAATAATTTTCCTCCTTCACCGTTCACGCCCGTATTTAAAATCTAAAGTGTTGCCCCTGATCGAAACTTTTGGCGTTTTCTAATTTTTTTTTTTTCTTAACGACTGAAATTTCAAACTAAATATTCCCCATACTGCCGTCACGTCACTCTGAAATATAACGATTATTTTCCTGTCGCGTTATGATCGTTTTTAAATTTTTTACTCGGAATGTTATTTAAATAAAAACCGTGAAACATTAGAGAAAACTATGGTGTACATAACATTATACTATTTTGTATGTTGTAACAATATTATTAATCTTGCGCAAACCAAAAACGTATACACGTAGGCACCACAGTATAATAGTTTTAGTTGCAACGATAATGGAGTACATCGCACCTGTACATTCATCAATTATTGTCTATGATGACCCGGTTTACACATGGGATGGTACAGTCGAAAACGTCGGTGCCGGAACAATGGAGTATATAATAATATATAGTTCCTTTATGTCCGTAATCCGTACCCGGAAATGTGCGGTTATGAATGTCCGGATAACAGAATAAGTAGTGTTTTTGAGGACGTGTAAATAATCTTTTATCGATTATGCCACATCGAGATCTTTAAAGTTTCATTATATGTCAGAAAAATTGAAATCGAACAAAAATTGTCATTTATTACATCATAATGAATTTGTGATATCAAAATTTAGATGTTTTATTTTAAGAAATCACTTAAATTCAAAAACAAGTCAATTTTAGACATTTTTTTTTAGATTCCGAACGTAGTGAGAGAGCTGTTGGTTATACAACGCTGTTTATTTTAGATTCCGAGCATAGCAAGGGTGCTATTGGCTTTACTAAGATGTTTATTTTAGATTCCTAGCGTAGCGAGAGAGCTATTGGTCCTACAATGCTTTTTATATATTTTTTTTTTCTTCTTTGTTCTAGTCTGTGGACACGTTCTTTTGTTGTAAACTTGCTCCGATTTTTACGGATAGCAACTTTCCTCAAAGCTCAAGTAATCTAGATTGTTTTTTAAAAAAAATCATTTGATTTTCGACGCTATTTTTTAAATAAAAACACTTACGTGGGAAAGAAACGTAGAAAAACGTACAATTTCACGATTTAATTATTTTATAAAAACACAGACTACGTTTTCTACCAGAGAAAATGGTTTAAACGAAAAATCACTGGACACCTTTTTCGTTGCCTTTTTGATTAATTTTTTTACGGTTTCATTGCTAAAACTTGAGCTTTTAAGAAATTTTAATATTTGGGTGTTTTTTTTTACTGCAATGCGGTTAAAAAATACACGTAGATACTTGATACTTGTTTATAATACTTATAATGGACTTACCTAAAAGTGGTAAAATTTATAAAATCATCAGACGACTTTTTTTTTTAAATAAGCGTTTTAAAATTAAATATAAATGAAAATCATAAAAAAAAAAAATTACGGCACTTCGAATTAGGTATTACCGAATGGCGTTCGGAATCGTTTTCGTCAATCAATGATTTATCGTTGCTCACAGGTATAAATGAATTAACCTTATATATCTTATCTTCCCATCTTCTCACCTACAACACTGGCAGCTCCCATCCCCAATATCAGCACTTTTTTTTATGTATATAAAATTTGAGTGTGTAGAAATTGAAAGTGTTTGTTAAATTCGGAAATATTATGTTTGAGAATAAAACGATTATTCATTTTTCAAATTTTAGATTCGGGGCTTAGCGAGGAATTTATTGGTTTTAATATGATGCGTGCTTTTAGATTCTGAGTGTAGTGAAGAATGTATTGGTTTTACAAAGATGTTTATTTATTTTTTTGTGTTAACACTTTTTTCATCAGAAAGCTTATTCCGATTTATACGATTTAGACTAATTTTTGAAAAGAAATTTTCCTGGGGAGGTACTTTAGGGAGGTCATTTTTTTTTTGCTTGACAGTTTTCCAAAAAAAGGAAAAAATGAGATAAAACGGGAAAATGTACGAAATATATTACGATATTTTTATCTACTGGCAATTTTGCTTTGATTCACAATGGCGACACTTTTTCTAATAGGAAATCTAATTGTGGAGATATCGATATTTTTTTCATAATCGTTTCAAGATCAAATTTTAACAAACAACGTAAAAATTACGGCATTTAAAATTATGTCTTACCGAAATTAATTAATCTTCGACCTCAAACGTTTTTCTTTAGAAATGGTGTATATTTGCTTCCAGATATAAATTAAATAAATGTACAGATCCTATCTTCTTAATTTCTCACCTACAACAGTGGCTGCAGCTGTTTTCAGTATCAGATCATTTTTAATATTTTATCACGATGGATTAAAATGTTAACAATAACTATCAAATACATATTAATAAATATTTTGAAAATTTCCTTTATTGGTAATTTTTTTAAATAACGATAACTGTCTTAGAAATTGTATACAATCAAGTAGGACCCATTGTTGTAACTCTCAATATTAACTTATCTAAATTTTAAAATATAATCTAAACAGTGACATGTTATATTTTATCTGGATGAAATCCAAATAACTTATCGTTATTATATATTTAATATTTGTGATGTTATGACACTCTATTTTTTTCCTTATCTTTATCTCCATTATACTCTCAATTATAAAAACTACAAAAAAAATCACAAAATGACCCATCTCTAATAATGCACCAACTAAACAAAATGTGTGACCAGAAAATCATGTCTAACGATGATAAGCAATGCAAGATTTCCGGTATTAAACGTTTCTTTCGACTATTCCATTATTATTTTAATACTATATTTATTATTTATTACTTACATTAACGAGTTTATCACATTCATAAAGTATCTATCTAAATTAAAAGTAATAGACAGTGATTATATCGTGTAGTAAATCCAATAAATATATTATCTCCAATCATTATAAAAAAGATTGTAAATGTGTTTTGTTAGTTGTAACTAATATAGGGTAAATAAATATACATTGTACAAAAAGTCTCAAAAAAATATTATGTAGAGCTGTTGTTTATTTTATTTTACATTTTGAGTATTATATTGTACTACAAAACTGTGCACACTATGTTATGTATCGTTTACTGATTCCCAAGAGAATAAACCCAACTGAAAAACTTTGAGGATGTATATAATTTTCGATTTCATATAACTTTTCTTCGAGGATGGTTGCAGTTTACATCGCCGTTATATACCATTTATACTTCTTCAGTCACTGTACATTACTACAAACTTTAAAACTCGTGCACAAAAATTATTGTTAGTACGTTTACGAATTGTTATATATCCATAATACAATGAAAATAATATGTGAAAATCGATAAAGTCGGTTTCTTGGTTTGAGAAACAGCGCGTGGTATAACATTTGATATTAGTTTGTTAACTCATAAAGAACAGTTGGGTAGAGTGGCTGTGGATCTCGATTTTTAAATGTGCAAAATTTTTAAATATGCGTGTAGTTATATATTGATTTTATTTTTTCCATTTATACTGAGTAAACTCCAGTTTACAGATATGAATTTAATAACAAGCAATCGAAAATGTATTAAAATTATTACTTATTCTAAAACGTGATAAATAATATATGTTAATTGTTAAGTCAAAAAAAAATTATAAAAAAAAAATGATATAATTAAAATAAAAATTATTATGAATATACTCATTATACAATTTTACGTATTGCCATATATCACGTTTCAGTATTGTGGCTGCTCAAACAAATTGTTAAATAACTTTCGGAAACTTATTATTGTTCAACAAAAACACAAATAAATTAACTACACAAAAGCACTTCCGTTAAGTCGCACACACCCAAGTGACGATTCGAAAAGAACTCTCCCAGTTTTGTCGGCCGGTCGCCTCACACAGTGGTTGCCGTATATTGTACACATTGTTAATTGATTCAATAGTTCTCATATTTGACTATTTTAAATTTGACTGAATAATTTTATACTCTCATAGGTTAATCTAACTCATACCGAACAATTAGAACATTTTGCAAGCGTCAAGGCTGTGTTAAAGATACACAGTTTGTATACGAGTGCTGAAGTTGTTAGAGCTGTAGTTCCGTCGTACTGTAAACAAGTCTGATATAAAATTGGAGAGCACACCGTAGCACGATGCACTTGAAAATATCGGTTTACGAAAACAATAGCTACGTACTAACACACGTGACTCTAGTGAATTTAAACTCGTATTGAAGACCTATTAGGTGTTGACCGTTGACCTACCAGCCACTTCTTGAAAAGGAAAACCTTCAGTGTTGCTAGATTGCACGTTACGCTATCAGTCTCATTATTTTATTTACACACCTCATTGAATAGACTTTCAATATTGTCGCTCGGCTCATCTAACAAAATATTATAAAATGGAAAATTACATTTAGAATTTCAGAAAATAAAAATCATTTTCAAGTTTAATACTCATAAAACGATAGAATAGAATATACAAGGGGTAATTTTTTCGTTATTCCATATACAAATTGCATTGCTATAAAATTTCAAAGTTTAGTTTTTCTAAATATTCTGTTTCTATATGGAATATCTAATATTTTTCCAATAATTTTATGTTTGACAAATTGTATCAATAACAAATTCTTAAAAAAAATTCAAAGATAAAAGTAAAAAAAATAAAAATACGTTAAAAACGGTTACCAATTGCCATTGGTAACTTATTATTGGCAACCTTTCTATTAAACTTGTTTAACCTAAAGAACCATTTATTCCTAATTGTCTCGCATATAAATAAGAATTTCAAAATATGACGTTTATAAAGAACCGATTAGAGCCAAAATCCGTCATGTTTTGTTCGGAGAACGACATTTCTAGATGGAACTTTATACTCAGTGTAAAAAATAAAATAAAAAAAAAAAAAAAACATCATTGTAAAACAAATTAATGTATTATTACAAAATTTGTTATAATATAAACGTAAGAAAAAAAGTCAACAATGTTTAATGGAAAAACGACACAGCTATAATATTAGTCTGTTGTCGTGCATCGCGAACACTCAAAACTTGCACCGATGAAACCTGTAAACGATAATAAATAGAATAGCAAAATAATGTTCATCGCGTAAAATCGGACTTTAATACTAAATCTTGTATAAAATAATATGGAGTACGAAATACCTACGGTAGTCCAACAACAAAATATTATTTTCTTATGAAAAACAACGACGTGTGCCGAGTGCTCCGTCATAAGAGATCATTGTTCCTTGAGTGCGATATTTATTCGCGGTGAATAATGTTCTGATGTATCCTAATGTAAAAAGGAAAACAAAATTGAATTTGATTATAACGGTAATGATGATTACAACAATAATAATTGTACTATTGTGTAGTAAACAGTGGCCCGCGCAGATGGGGTGCGATTGGGGGCCGTACTCTATTCCCCACAAGGTGTCTTTCGAATACGACAACTATGCGCAATATAGTTATTTGTTCAGTATACCTAAGAACTGCGTAACTATTATCTATTCGGCTAAGTTAACAGGGAAAAACTCGACGTATCCGGTTATCGGAATACGGTTATTTGCAGATCCGGCCTTGAAATTGACATTGTGGAATCGAACAGGGAAGAAGCATTCTGTAAGATTTGTTTACGGTTAATATTCGCTATTCCATCATCCTCTACCGTAGGAGATTCCTGGACACGCCACTGGTTGTGTACAAGTTTATTACCACATAACTACGTCGCGATATCGTTCGGTGTTAGCTTCTTCCGTTTCGGTGGGCTGATCGTGTCCGACGATGCTAATTCTGAACACCCTCGTTTAGGTGCCCGCGGAACAATTTCGAAAAAACACGATCGTTTGGTTTTTATAGCCGCAGCCGTTACTATGACGCCATCTTCCAATTTTTGACGTTTTATTCTATTTTCGACGTGGTTCGTAAACTCATTCGGTAATTCCCGTTTCAACGGACGCCGTCCCGTCAATGACAATGCTCTGATCGTTAAATCGATGATGTCCTCTTCGTAGTCAAACTTTTTAACCGCATCGTTCGATAATTCAACATCAACATTCCCTAATAAACGCAACGGAGTGTTTAATTTTTGTAAAATAACCGATTGGAAATTAACGGGTTACACAAATTGTTTACTAATCACCGAACTGAATGTTAATCTACAAGTAAGTTCTTGTACACATGTATTTATCAATGTGAGATTTATGTAACCAAAATTGATTATAGACGCATGAAAAAAACGTCGTATTTAGTAATACACATAAATCATTTAAATTCTAAATTTTTAACAAAGAATAAATGTATTGTTTTTAGTAGTAATTTTTCTTATCTAATTTTTTAATTAATTCGTGATTATACGATAGAACGATGTACAATTCTGTGGAGGTTTCATTTATTAAATCATCTATGCATTCGTTACTAAACTCACCGTTTACATTTAGTGATCCGTGTTCTACCATTTCAACAACAACTTCCATGTAGTTCGACATGATGTTCAACGTTATATTTCTACAAAAATGATCATAATATGTTTTATTATAACAGACAGCAAAACTAGAGTTTTATTATTATTGTATATATATCTTGTTAATTGAATATGTTTATGGGTATGACACTGGTGTAAGCGAAAATTCGAGAAGGTAATATACATAAAGTTGTTTAGGTTATAACTGTAGGATTGTGAGTGAGGTTCGGTTTAACATATTTTTTAATGCCGTAATGTTAACGATTTTCGTCAAAGATTGAACTCGGATACCTCAAAGATCGCTTGAATTGTTAACAGTCATTATTTTCAATCGAACTAATCAAAAGGTCAGAACATTATCAAATTCTGTTTTTGTGTAGGTATGTATTGGTTTTTTCTCGATATTTTAATTTTTCTCGTCTAATCGTAGGTACCTGTAAATTTTTACTAATTGCGATATTTATTATATGTCCTAGTAATACATCGCTTAGCAAATTAAAATACCGAGAGCGAAACAATCAATTTATAATAAGACGGATTATGTTTCGTAACTTCGAGTTTGCTGGCGATTTTGTCAATTCGATGTCTAACGTTAAAACCAACAGCGTAAATCGTCCCGTTGAACTCAAATGCTGTATATTGTACATTTGACGGAGGCGAGTAAAACACCACAAAATGCGGGAAAACATAATATTATCGCGTTCTCTTAAAAGTTAAATATTGATAAAAAAAGTAATAAATACTTACGGCGGCGGACAATCCGGAACTAATAATACTGTCAATTGACACACAGAAAAAAAAAAAAAAAATTATAAGGAAATGCTATATTAATATTAGAAACGTGAGAAAAACCTCTGAAAAATAAATAATAAACAACGAGTAATGATTAACATCAATTAATGGTCAACGTATNGTGCCAAGAAATCGTATATGCGTACAATGAAGAATATCAAGATTTGCAAATCGCTGTATACAAATTTTCCGCGTTAGGTACCCGTGACGACCGAATAAATAATATTGTTATAAATATCGAATGTTTGATCGGCGTGCCGTAATACAATATTCGATTTTTATGTGATAATTATGCGGTAATAATATGACTTACAGTTTTACCGTTATATTGGACTTTTTCGAAATCCAAAAAGGGAATTGTTAACTTTTTTCCGTTAATAGTTTTGGAAATTTTTCCATTAGTTATAAATATATCTCATAACCGTTTTATGAGTTAATTCACCTGTAGAATGTGAGGGGTCACAATGTCCCTCAAGTAGCGCAAAATATGTGAATCACATACTTGAGTTAATAGAGGAGCTATTGAACTCAACATTGTTGTTCCCGATTAGCACGTTTACCAACACACAGCAAAAATTTCATCTTTCAGACTCGAATTGACATTGCGATGTCTCAGCTCATATGATTTATTGAATTATTATTGTATTGACACACACAACAGTATTTAATTAATATCAAATGAAATCTAGTAGATTGTTTTTTATCGTCGGTAGTTTCTAAGAAGAAACGCAGTGCCTCTATTAGAAATCTCAATAGAAGCGATTGTCAAAACACCAACACCTCTCCTCAAAATAATTTAGAAAAATATTTATATCTATATGCATTTTCAGTTTTTGACGTTATGCAATTTGAATAACGAAATAAAAATATAATTTGTGTAACGTATTTGCATAGCTTGTAACTATAATATTAGTCCCTTCTGACAAGTAATCCTAAATGTTGAGCAAAGATAGTAATTATATCATTTTCATTAGTGTATTTTTTTTATTTAATTATATTACCCATGTCCAACTCATTCATTCAACTTTGGCACAGTGCCACTACTCAAATACATTTTAATAGGGTTCAGTATAGACACCGTTCTTTCGGAAGTAGAAGAAGTAACATGGAACGTAGTTAACATTCAAATCATAAAATATTATTGTACATACATAACACGGTCCACGAGGGGTGTATATTCCGTTAGTTAGCCGGCATAGCTACCAGCACTGAAGAAATGACTGCATATTATAATAATAATTCCATTTGCTTCTTTCGCGTTGTTTTTTTTTCTAAAGGACGAATTATACATTCATTATCTTCATAATATATGCACAACACTTCAAATGAACATCGTGTTTTACGCATAGTGAAATCATTCCCATGTGGTCGGCTATAAAAATCGCCAACACCGGTGCTGTCGTAAAAAATAATTCTACTCGCTGAGTTTAAACGATAAAAAAAAAAAAAAAAACAAAATTATCGAAATGCAAAAATAAATACACGCCTACATAATGTATGGAAATGAAACATAAAAACACTATCATCGTAATTAATTCATTCGAATAATTAAACAGTTTTTATATGCTCGTTCTGGCGGAAAAATAATCTATTATCCGTAAAATAGCAGACCGTAATAACGAAATGGTAGGTACTTATAACCCACGTTATGTATCATATTACACTCGTAGTACTGATTTTTATCAATTCGTATTTGGACTTAATTTATTTAGTGTAAGTAAATATGTTATATTACATTTTAGTTCGGTTCAATATATCATAATCGATACTAATCTAACGAAGTTGTATAATTCCGTCTTTGAAGAAATAATATAATTTCCCTTGCCTAATATTCTTCTAAATGTAAAATTACCTCTATTGCGTATTAAATTTGCAAACGCGCATTAAATAAACATGTAATTTTTATTCGATTTTCATAAATTAACTTTTCATCGACAAACTTACCGTTCGAAACCTACACACAATACTCGTATATTATGTGTAAACACAGTAAATTGTTTACTTATTCAATTAATTAAAATTAGATACGATTCTATCGCAAAACCGAGAAAGTCAGTTTAAATTAAAATAGAAAATGTACTGTAATATAATATTTTGGCTATTTTTTTCAATACTATTAAAAAACAATGGAGTTTTTATAAAGTTTGTATAAACTTGAAAATGTACGTTTGGCATTGCCATATTATTTTTAGTTTACTTATATATTGTTAAATGGATCTCCGATTTATAGTTATTATTATAGTTTTCAAAATGCTATAAATGATACAGAAAACAACGTGATTATTTTTTATTATAGAATGCATGATTTTTTTTTTTTTTTGACCAAAAAAGTTGTATGGTTATTCAAGTAATACAATTACCTAATTTACAATTATTATTGATAATTTATAACTTAAACATTTTCCTGACTATGGATTATTTTTCGTCTGGCTTTTACAACTCTAAGTATTTTCACTTCTAATACCACATATTTTTATTCAGGGTAAGACAGATTATTAAAGGCTTTACAATAAATTGACATACAGGCCTAATAATCCTTTCGCATATTAAGGGATTCAAGTAAATGAAGTCTCGATTACAATAAATCGGATAAATAAAATTTGTACACATAAAAAAAAAAAAAAATATAATAATAATCGAATAATAAACTGAAATGACCATAAACTGTGTGAAGTTGTTCTATAAGGACATCATACCTATTCATGCTTAAAAATTATCCATCACAATATTATTTTATAATACGTTTATCATCGATAGGGCCCATCAATAGGGCGTAGAAAAAAAAAATGTCCGTACATGTAACAAAAAATAAACTCGATACTTATTACATAAAATGAAGACGGAGAAAAGGTTAATCTAATTATTTTTGACGGATAATACTAATATAATGTATCTATACATACATTTTTATAAATTGTACATAACAGTACGAGTTAAATTGGTTATTATGAAGGAGATAAAATAAATATAAATTATTAAAACATACTTCACGATATATAAAAATAATTTATGTATGAAGGTGGCTAAAGAAAAACAATTCAAAAGTGCAAAGACACGGTTAGTTCCGCCCATATACACGTCGTCAACCGTTTAATCGGAGTGTTCGGTGGTTTTACTTTACGCTCAGAATATATTGGTTTTTACCGTGATGTGTACGATTTACTTTTTCGATTATGTAATTGAACAATTCGTGATTCAATTTGAACTATTCTACCAGAAATCTTGCATTAATCAAAAGATGATAAAATACTTTATTTTTTAGCATTTTGAATTTATTTTGGTGCATTAGATTGGTAATTTTTTGATTTTAAGATTATTTCGTTGTTATTGATTATTTTATTTTCTTAATAATTTGATTTAACCGGAAATAATAAATAATAGGAAAAACGGTAAAGATTACTGCGTTAACAGTTTCATTATTCGTGTTTGTAAATCGATTAAAAATAATCGTAGAGTCCGAAGATTTTCAAAAATACTTATCGATAGGTCCTTTTAAGATATTGTACAATTTTCAAAACGTTTTGGAAGTTGTTTAAACTGTTTATAGACATTATTTACTTTCGAATTTTTTTTTTTTTTTATTTTAGTTGCAATATTTTATTGTTTAGCCGAATAGAAAGTTTTGAAAACGAGAGGTTCGTCGTATTATTAGGTAAGTTATAATTGGAGCTACGAATATCCGGAGGATATTATAATTGATTTTTCATTTTTTATTACAATTTTAAGTTTTCATTGACAATAGTATAATAATGAAGGTATTTAAAAACACGTTTAAATGAACTACGCTCAGAATCGTATTCACCCAGTAATGGTTAATCGCCACGCACAAATATAAACATGCATAACTTTATGTCACCCACTTTCCGATTTCTAACCTATAACAGTAACACATCCATCAGTAATATCAGTTTTTTTTTTTTCCATTTCTATCCGCTTTTACTGCAGAACCGTACAAATATGTGCATACAAATGGCCACGTTAAAACGATAAACCGTTTTACGTATTACAATATTATATGTTATTGGATCTTCTATCTGACTTGTAAGTATTACATATAAATGTAAAACGATTCAATAATAACGTCGAAATACGTTTAAATTTTATAACTTCGGTTATAGTCGGTACAGTATCCTGTATACCTAGATTTGCGTTATGGAAATAAATATTATCGTTCGAATCAAGCGAAAATATTGATAAAAACTAAACATAAACGATACCGGTTTTTCAAATAGGCATTACACCAATTCAATACAATACAATATTGTAGGAAATAAAGTAAATATTGTAAATAAAACTCGCGACATAGGTAAAATGTTTTATATTATGACATCGCTCATGATATTCGTGTATCTATGTTTATAGATTGCAATAATACCATCAATCTTCGTTTCATATGCAATTTGTAAAATCGCAATTCCGCATTATAATGTTTACCGTATGCAGCTACTATATTGAAATTTAAATTATATACTAAACTGTTATAACTATTCACAACGGGGTTTACTCCTCATTATCGACATAAATATTTGATCTTTCGGCGATCAAGATAATTTTCGGTCTGTAAATTTAACGTACTAATACACCTACACGGAGTAAAGAATAAAACAAAAAGTAATTTTCAATCCTGAAAAATCAACCCGTATCACTGAAGTAAAAAAAAACCAAAAAATATTAAATAAATTATTCGAAAATGTAATATAGATACTATTATTGAATTCGTGAATCGCATAGTTAACTATGTTCGAAATCACTCCATAGCAAAAGTTTAGGAATAAAAAAAAAAATACTTAAACATTTTTTTAAATTATGTATTCGGGGCGATTAATATTAACTTTATACTTGGTCGCATAAACGGCAAATAAATCGTTGCCAAACCCATCATATCATAGTCTGTTCGACGGAGTGATGGGCTGGTGCGGAAACGACTTTTACCATTTATCGATTTGGCCAATAACCTCTTATCGGTTCGATATTTCGGGTATCTAGGTATATTATATTATTATCATACTTTGTGTAGTGTAAAATAAAAAAAAAAAAAAGCACGTGTATACTTCTATATAGACGTCGGATTTTTCAACGTTTTTACGTTTTTTTTAGAATATTAAAAAAAAAAAAAAAAAAAAACGAAAAAGTTTTCGTAATATAAGTAATTATAGGTATAGAAGTATTGTTTGAAAGTCGATTTCCATTTTTCATGCATATTAATACGTTTTGCAGGGTTCGTGAAACTCGATACCGATTCGGTTTAAATTATTATATTTCGAGATGATTGATTTGCATAACTCGAAAATAATACTATTGTCCCAAACGCTGCAGCGAACTCCTTCATAATATAATATTTTACTAACATAAAATATAATCAACATTTGTGTCGGTATTTAATGGTTCGGTATCCAAGAGATAAAGAGTAATTTGCATAAATTTATCAACCATTAACGATAAACGATTATACGATATATACGTCAGAAAACTCAAACTTAAATTTTAATATCCTTGCAGTAATATTCTATGATAATAATTAATCAAACGCTCAACCTATTCATTATTTTTGTTTTTAATATTTACAATATGAAGAACTGGCCAATAAAAATAATAATTACAGTGAATATATTATAGTTTATAAGTATACAGAGGTACCTATAACTGTGTCTAGCATGCCTGAAAACATAGTTACTGAACAAGTAAGTCTTTATAACTTCAACAAACATTTTTTTTTCTTTTTCTTAAAAAAAATTTTCGGCTAACTTTACGTTTAATTTGTATACATTATTAAATGTTTATTATATTATATCAGTGCACTGAAATATGATACATAACACTCACTTCAATGACTTACACTAGCTATACTACATAATATGTCAACGGAAATTATATGGAATACGTGAAATGAAATTATTATGGTTTTAAATCAGTTGTCAACTAAACGAACGATACATGAATAATATGTGATTTTTAAATTATAAAAGTTTTTTAGTAATTAATAGGTACCCACATATTTACCAATCTATAATATTCATTATCGTTCAAAATCGTTTCAATTGGATAGTTATATGACATCTAATATTAAAATTGTGAAATTATATGCGGAAACAGTGTACATTTTTGAAGTTATAACAATAGTATTACTGTGATTGGATTACGTTGGACGGTGCAATTGATTTTGTAGCTTTTAAAAATGTATTGCAAACAACGGGATCGTCTTGATATTTAATAACTGCTTCAATTAAACTACATAATTAGATTGAAGTTATGCGTACAGATTTCAATTAAAACGCGTCCTACCTTTTCAACTCTGCACATACAACAATAGCACGCTATTATCAGCCGTCGTGATTTTTTTTTTTTTTGATTTTATTTATTGAAAGTTCTGAATAAACGTGGTATATTAATGTGAAATCGTTTCGGAAGGAAAATGTTTAAACGTATATGGGAAAACGGCAGAGAAAAGTTTAAACAGTCGCGTTATTTACACGGAAATGGCGTGTTGTTAGGTTCGCATACTCGTAACACGCGCGTGCGGTAAAAAACAATCGGGCCGACAACAATCGGCGACAAATCAAATACCGCGTTACGCGCGAGATGATATTATACTCAACCCCTCGATAACATTCGTACGGCGATGGTATATTATACCGGGTAGGTAATTTTCAAATTCTCTCGTCGTCGTCGTCGTCAATGGCGTGTCTTTGCAACGTCTGAGCTGCACTCGTGTTTAGTTTATTATGGTTCGCAAAAGCGGGAAGACTGCTATCGTTATATACATATCGGTCTACGGTAACTGCGACGAAAGCCGCCAAGGGCCGTGTTTCAGACAGCCGGTCTGGTAAACACGCACACGCGCGCACGCCCACGCCGGGAAACCGCGCTCAAAATCAAAAGACGCCGAACCCGTGGTGATATTATTATTGTTGTTGTCGTTGATGTTGTGCTATGCGACCACTACGCGGCGAGTTGTAAGACTGTAATGTACGCTCGACGGCCAGGAACTAAATTACTAAAACCACAAAAAAAAAAAAGAAAAAAAAAAGCTATATTATGCTCTCTGTGGGTGACGCGAAACAGAGAGGAGAGCCTTTTCGCGACGAGCACCGATCGCGCGGGACACGGTTTCGTTGTAGGTCAGGCAGGCCGGCAGACGGATAGGTTTGGACGCCGCCGATATAATATTGCCGTTAGAAAATACGGTCGACGGCACTCCGGCAAAGGCCGCGTTACGAATCGTGTCGTCAGTGGTACGTTTTACTGTTTTTACCGCCGTTTTCGTTTTTTTTTTCATACCTACTTCCTCTCGCGAACTCCGCGGTGTTCGCGAAAACCGACAATTTCTATTTTCGGCCGAGTGTTAAACGGTTTTTTTCTTTTTTTTTTTTTTCCCCCAGATAGGCGGGTTTAGGCCGGTGCGAGAAAAATTACACCCCCGTGGCCCGTGTAACGGTCGTTACGCCGTCGCCATGTCCCGTGTAAGCCGAAAAAAAAAAAAAAATGGTGGACCACCGCAGTGTCCCGGTGCGCCTCTTGCCTTTTTCGTTTCTAATCATTTTCGGTAATTGCGCGGATAATGCGGTTTACAGTGTACAGGTTTGACCGACGGCGGTGACTGTTGTTTCAATGTGTACGATATTTCGCCTTTGCCGTTGCCTGCTATACAATGCCATAACGTTTAATTCGATTACGCTGTTAAAAAAGTTTATGAAATATAATTCGTTATTATTAATTATTACATTATCAATATTGATACTCGGCTCGTGTTATTCGTTTGTTCACTACTATAACTGTTTAATATTCATAAAACCGTAATCGGTATCGTTTATTATAACGCTACATCGGGTCGCGTCACTTAATCTGTTAACCGTCGATGAATATTTCGGAGACCGGATAATATTCAGCTCCATCTAACCGAAATTACAAATGCGCGATGACGCTGGACTCCGGAGGACCTGCGAATTATTATTATTACTATGCACCGTAGTTATAACCGCGGTGTCCACACCAATACCAACCTTATACCTATACCGTTATGCGAATGAGTGTATTAAAAACTATCTTTAAATCTGGTTTTTATCTATTAAACTCGTTGGATGTTTTACGTTTATTTTTACGCCGCAGTTTAAATTACAACTGTATAGTGTTGCGTCCGCATCAATAAAATTTGTGATACGACTTTGATCCTCCAAAGGCTGAGCGCGAATTTCGAGCGACGTTGCCACGTTTATTATTACAAATTATATTATTACATATATTTATATTATTGCAGCGATATTTCATTCGGTCAATTTTTTAATGGTAAAGTGAAGTGGTTTATCGTTCAATACGCATGCCTCTAACCGATTTCATTTCTTTGTGATTTAATGCGGCGGTCACGCTATTCGCGTATGAGTTCGGATCGAATCGGCTTTACCGGCCGGGCAAACGTGGAAGGTCTAGCCCTCCGTTAGTGATTTTTCCGAGAAAAAAATTGGCTTGTCGATGTCTCGAACCGAATCAGTGCGGTCGCGATAGCTCGCGTTTTTCAACAATTGAATTATCGGTCGCTATTAATTAACGTGGCCGCACGCCGCTTTACCGCGATAAGTACGTAGTTGTTTACGTAGACGGACGGCCGAAATCCGCGGGGATATTATTTAAACTTGGCAACATTGCGTGGCAATCGCGTGGTAAGAATCGAGTATCGCGAGCCAACGCACGCCTAAAAAGTTATCGCCGGCAAGAGACGCGCGCGATCGTGTCGCGTTTTCGTTAAGCGTGCGGTTCCTGTATTTCACATTCATTCTTACATTATTATAAACATTAATTATAATATTTTACTTTGAAAAAACAACACGCATTACAAATCGAATAACTACTTACTCTGTACCGTATTAAAATATGTGCCAATGACAATATGATTTTCGCTTTCGAATAACTTATACCTCAAATTTGAACCATATTTTTGTTGTACGCATTTTAAAGCACTTTTGAAGGACGACGCTTATCGGTGTTGGCGGGGGTGAGTTTAATATTTGACGTTGGAAGGGATTATTCTGGTCACCGAAATCATTGATTTCTCTCCGCGGCCCTGCCGGTACACGTCGTCGCGTAGTTCCCCACGCTGTTATCGAAGATTGTTATCAATTCTAACGTCGTCCCACTACGATGGGAATACGACTGCGACGGGATTGGCGAATTAAATAATATTATATTTGATCGCGCTTGTCGAAAAATCGTACCGACGTATTTTTTTCGGTTGTATCCGAATCGGTTCCCATTTGAAAAAATCGGTTCCCGTTTATATTTGTGATGTATCCGCTACTGGTCGAATCGGTTCCCACTGTTCGCAGGCTAGAATAGTTACGAAAATTTCTCTTTTCTTTCTTACAGGCTTAGGACTGTAAATTAAAAATTACTTAGACTTTATAGTAAAAACATATGTGTATTTTATATTCGGGACATAAAGTCATATAGATACGTATACAGATCCAGATGGATTGACGTTATGTCTGTATTTCTTGTATAAATAACTGTAAATAAATAAATAATAATAATAAATAATTGTGAGCTCTACAAATGTAGGGCTCGCAATCATAAAGTATCTTTTCTCAACGGAAACCAATTCAGGGATGTGGGGTTTGGGAAGAACACGGTTCCGTACGTTTTTTGTACCTAAACTTTTAATACAATGTTGCCAGATTTCCATAAGGTTACGTAGGCATTTGACCGTTTGTTTTAGTTGTAGTGTTTTACATAGATAGTTTCAAGCTATTATTGTAACATTTATACAACGGACAACGGCGATACAATCGTCATACATCAGATAAGTTTTTGTTGTGTCATAAAATGACATATCTTATTTTAAGTATCCCCGTGGTACGTTTTACATTTTACCTGGTCGCCGGTCGGTAACATCGTCATTTTGTGCAAAGTGCGGTGCATCATAGAGATCATGTTTCTAAACATAGTCAATACGGAGGAAAACGATGTGAAGTTTATTATTTCGGAAAAGTGGGAATCACTTGAATTGCTTAATCTCTATAAATGAATAATTTTAAATTTAACTTTGATTTTTTCAAGTTCATCGTTTTTTTTGTTTTTTTTTTTTTTTTTTTATAACGTTATTATTTGAAAAACATCAGACACATTGACGATAATAAATAGTGAATTGCCCAGAAAATCGTACGTAATCGCGTGGTGTTCGAGCTCATTTCCGTTGTTTGATCGAAATCGAACGGATTGGTGCCTTGAGCTCGGGAACCAATTCGGATACATCCTTTTCTTTTTTTTTTCGCGTCAGTTAGGTACTACGCGGTAAACTCTGCGTTACGTACCGTTTATGGAACATATCATTATTGCAGTGTATAGTTATTTCAAACCGTATAGACGCGAGTTAAGCGTTTGCTAAACATAAACGATTATTATTCAAATTCGCGTGTGTCGTACACCCGACGACAGTGTATAATAGTAATAACAATAATAATAATAATAATAATAATAACACGTATAACAGGCGATTAGGCACGCGAACATCGTCCCCCCCCCCTCGTCCGACCGCTATTAAACGTTTCACTTATGAAATTACGCGATAACCGTATTCGACCTGGGGGAGAAAATAATGGTTTTTTTTTTTCTTTTTCCTGAGGCGATTAACATTGTATTTTTAACGAAACTTTATCCTACCGAATAGTATCGTCGTCAAAATACTTTCGGACCTTTTGGTGATGAGTAGGGCGTTTCGAGAGCTACACCGAAGTTAACTGTATTTGCAGAACATCGCTATATTATTTCCGTAACTCTAAATGCTTAAGTAATTTTCTGTATACAATATTTCTAACAAATTATAACACACCGTTTAAAAGCGTACGGATTCATAATGATAATAATAATAAAAAAAAAAAAAACAACGAAATAAAATTATCACATTGAAGAAAAGTCACAGCTATTTATATATATTTAAATTTTTAGTTGAAATTAAGTTAAAAATATGTTTGGATGAACTTGAAATTTTGATACAAAACTTAAATTGGCTTTTTGTAGAGGTGGTAAAATATTAAAAACGTTTTAACAATTTTTAAGCTATTTATAGGTATTTGATATTTTCGTGTTTTTATATGTATTTTTATTCGGTAGGTATATCTGTTATTAAAATTATGACTTAAGAGAAATTGTTTGAAAATTTAAAAAATTGAACACAAGTTGCATTATAAGTTGTATTGAGTGTTTTAAAATAAATTTGAGTTTAATAAGTTCGTTTTTTTTTTTTTTTTTCATAACCGTTTTAAAATCAAATTTTGACAAAAATCTTAGAGAGTACTGAATTTCAAAATATGTTTTATCGAACTTCGCTCAAAATCGCTTTTCGTCTTGTATCTTTGGATACAGATATAAATTAAATAACTATATGTAAACCTTTCCAACTTACTACCTACAACAGTGGCTGCATCCGTCCGGCCGTACGCATTATCATACAAATTAGTTTTTGAATAATTTAACGGAATCGTAGATTTCGTCAATATTCAATTAAAAATGGATTTATTAATTTAAAATTTGTTAAATAATAATGTTTTGTTTTTTTTTTTTTAAATATCCATTATCTTACGAATAATAATGTAATATAAAAGTATTAGCATTTGTGGCACATGAGACCATAATTTGTTATAGATACCAAATAACTACATTATTATGTTCTGGTTTACAAATATATCCAATAATAACGAAACCAATAAATTGAAAGTAATAAATCTTGACGAAAATCCGTATGGAAAAAACAATATTGTTTTTAAATATTATATTTAAATTATATACGTATACCTATATAAAGTGATATGAGCATATATACATGTTTCGATCAATAACGTAATATCATTTTTATGATCAAGGGGAATGTGTAAAAAAAAAAAACTTGATTTTGTTGAGTACTATAACGTCAAAAACACAGAGAAAATAAATATTTGAACGAAAACTGTGTATTATATCAAAAAAAAAAAAAATAATAAAAATAAAAGACGTATGCGCAAAATACTATACTGAAACACAGAGCGATATCACTGAACCGACTCTCTTCTTCGGCCTCGTTTTTTAGGTTAAATTTATTGTATTGCTATTCAACACCCGTCTACATTTTATCGATTCGAATATTTCTAATTTTCAACCTAACACGATATAGTCACTAGGTACTAGTGACGTGCGCAAAGGGGAGTTTAGGAGTTATATATTATTTACAGTGGTATTATAAATCAACTAAAACAAGGGTCGCCATCGGATTAAAAATACAACAACTATGAACAGGTATTTACTTCATAATTTTATCTTAAAAGTATTTGATGGATATCTGTGTAACAAAGAAAATCTTGATTTATTGAACACATCTGCTTTTTTGGATACTGCTTGTCGTCTGTCGTAAATATTATAATATTATCTATTTATTTGTAAGTGAAAAAATAAGGGTTTAACCTATTTTCATTTTGAGCGAAGCGTGGTATGTTTTGGTTTTAATATGATGTGGTTTTTTTTTTTTTTTTTTTTTATTGTGTCTATAGACAACATTTCTATTAGAAATTTTACTCGTTTTCATCAAAAACTTTTTAGAAACTTTCTTATGAAATTTTCGATCTTGTTGGTTCATTGCAGAAGTGGTCATTGTTATTTTTATTTTCCTTAGAATTTTCTTAATAAACGAGAAAAATTGGACATTTATTCTGTAAGTTTTGTTGATTTCTTGGATACCTTGACAACTACAACTAATAATACTCTGTTTATAATAGGTTTTTTTGTTAATAATTTAGCGACTAGCGATTCATCTTTGCGTACATTTATGAATTGAATAACTTTATATATCCTTCCTTCCATTTTCCTTACAAAAACATTAGCACCCTTATCACCAGTAGGTTTCAGCGTTTTTCTTCTAGATTATTATTATCTTATTTGTATTATTTATTGACAAGTTCGTGGATAAATTCAATAATATCACTTGAAATCAGATTATTTTTTGCATATAATTTATTTTGTAACATGGCTCTTGGAGTATTGCCGAGACGCTCTCTAACTCGCGATCGCCGGGTCCGCAGTCCAACGACCCTCGAGT